GTAAAGTGCACCTTCAAGTAGTGTTGAGAAATGTGGTTTTATTATTGAAAATCTTTGTGACGGTCTTAAAATATATTTGTATATCTAATTATAAATTTTAAAGCTTTAAAATAATGTAGATCAAACAAATTATGAAAATCTTAAAAATTGATGGTAAGAAAATACGTTACAAGATGCACCATTCCCAAACTTAAATTTCATATTTTTTTTCTCATGTCTATACATCTTGCGGTTGAAATGATCAATTTAAAAATATTTGAATGTCAAAACAATCTTTTTTAATGAAAATTTTTATGAGCGTCTAAAATTTGATTGTTTAGCGCCTCGCACCTATATGAACTTTTTTTTGACGCGGTTATCTATGCGATTCTGGATTAAGAATAAAAAAATACGTCACCCTCGCTCACAGTAATCATATCAATAAACAAAGTTATTATAGCTTCCAACTCGACCTCATGGGAGTGGCTCTCACACACATTTTGCTCTTTTTGTTTTAATTTTATTATTATTATTAAGTTATTAACAGTAAATTTCATTAAATAAAAGAGCTCAGCAGCTAGACGACGAAGACAAAACCCCCCGTTTGGACATTCTAATAGCCCCATACATTTTTTGATTGTTTTCTGATTGCTCCATATTTGCAATATCCTTACCAGCTCTCATGGGTGTATGTGAAAATAGACACTCATTATTACATATAAATACCTAAGGGATGTGTTTATTTTTCAATTATAGCCTATATGAGCAATTTTTTTTTTCTTTTCTTCAGTTGTGAACAAAACCAGGTTATTAGCAGTGTTTCCAAATCGGGATAACCCAAATCCCTATATGATGTGGTAAGCACCCTAGAATAATGATTTTAACACCCAAAGAAAATATTCAAGCATAATAATGTATGCAATATATTTGGGAAACATACAGAAACAAAAAAAGCAACAAATAAATGAGAAATCACCAAACCATGATACAAGTAAAAGTAGAAAGCATATATACATTTATGTAGTTCTTCCAAAATGGGCTACATCCATGAGCAATGAGCAATGACTATCAATGAAAAATTTACGAGTTTGGGGTTTTGTAGATATTACTTCATACAATAGCAAGAAAAATTCAAGGCAATTCCTTGAGTTTTGGAGGGGTATTGATTATGAGAGATTTTTATACTAAGGCAATTCCGAAAAGTGGTGGGGAATGGAGATTCCACACTATTCTGGTTTGACAAATGGATTGGAGAGTTTCCCTTGAGATACCTCTTCCCTAAGGTTTTCTCGAAAGTTTTAAACCCTCTAGTATCCATCAAGAAGGCTAGTGCGGGTGATTATACTAACTATATTTGGTCCATTCTTTGTAGGTAAAGGAGAGTTCAGATGGATTCAGTGAGGAGTTTCAAGCATTGTTGGACTTATTGAATGACGCATATCTGACTCCAAATATAGAGGATAGTTTTATCTAGGATCTTACTCCCTCGGGTAAATTTTTTGTCAAATCCACCTACAATCTCTTGTTTTGTGACCGAAATAAGGAGTTAGACGCTGGACTCTTTTAGATCAAGATTACATGTGACTCTTAAAGTGCAACTTTTCATATGGATCATGTGCCAAGACAAATTAGCAATTGTTGACAACCTAAGAAAGAGGGGTTGTATCATCACCAATGTATGTATTAAATGCAAAGATAGTAATGGAACATCCAACATATGTACTTATCATGCCCTTTCGCTACAAATCTTTGGGACTGGGCTTGTCAATATCTCAATTTGACATCACCAATCCCTCAGAATGCCAGAGCACTCCTCGATCAATAGATTACGCTTGGTATCTCAAATATGGGAACTATCCTTTCGAGATCTATTTGGGTTATTCTCCTTTGGAGTGTGTGGAAGGAAAGAAATAGAAAAGTGTTTGATAATATAAGCATATACCTCTCTATACTAAAATCGAATATCATCGCAGTAGCAGCATATTGGTTCCTTGCTGATAAGGATAGTGGTTTCATTCCTAAAAGTTTAATTATCAGTAACCCTTTGGCAATTGCGACTATGAGTGTCAATACTAATACTCGTAGTGCGGTTGTTTGGAAACTACGACTTTTGAATTCTTTTAAACTTAACTTTGATAGAACTCCTTCGGTAATCCAGGGATAGGCTTTGGTGGACTAATTAGAAATAATTTGGGTCACATTATCTTTTCCTATTTGGGTCATTGTGATATCACAACAACAAATGAGGCGGAAGCACAAGGCCTCTTGAAAGGACTGCAATTGATTTCTACTTTGGAAAAAGGTGGGATTATCGAAAGAGATTCGACAAATGTCATCGCCTGGAGCAAGGGATAACCATACATCCTTGGAGGTTAAGGATTATCTTTCATGAGGTTAGGGATATTTTATCAAGTTTCATGGCAATTGTTCAACATTGCTAAAGGAATGCTAATGGAGATGTTGATGCTCTTGCCAAAGGAAGAGTTCACGCTCCTTTGATTGTCACTTTTTTTTAGCGACATTCTATTCTTTTTATTGTATGCCTTGTTTTTTTGTCTTTGGTTAATGAATGCTTCATGTTATCGTTCAAAAAAAAAAAAAACTTAAATAAATATTTCTCACCACAATACCATCATCAATCGGCTCATATTTTCGTCACCGTCGACCAAGACCATCGCCGCAAAGAAATGCCAATGAAAAACCGGCCCAATACTACGCCACAATGGTGTTAAGATTTGTGCAACAAACCCTCAATCTCTACCTCCTAAAACTTTTCTACTATTTTTCTTGTGTTTTCTCTCCCTATTTTCTAGGACGAAAAGCCCCTCATGTAAGAAAAAACCCTTAATGGGAGTGGTTTTGACATCACATCCCAACATGAAGCATTTTGTCGATAACTAGCATTTGATTATGAATGAAAAAGTTCCCATGAAAGTGACAAATTAAGTTGGGGCACCCATTATCATGGGACAACTTTAAGGGACATTTATCCATAACTTGAAAAATAGGGACGTCCAAACATGGCCAATGTGTTCAGCATAGATGCTTAGTGTTTCTCAGGTCATTGGGATTGAGAAATGGTAGGAATCCATCTGACCGTAAAAAAAGAATCTCTGTACTATTTTAGGAAAAGAAAAAGTTTATGTAAGGTGCACGTAAAAAATCCAATGCAAAAGAGTGTTTTGAGCTTGTAAAACCTCCTAATCGATCATCTCAACCTTGAGATGCATATAAATAAAATAAAATAAAATTAAGTCTTGAAAATAGTGTAGTTTGTAACAAGTTATTTGGACTGACTATTTTTTAAAAAATTGAGTGTGTGTTTATAGATCTACTCGATCTACATCCCTTTTGGATAAATTTAAATTTCATATTTACGGTTAAACACGGATTTTCAAGCTATTTTAAAATTTATGATAATAGAACTACATCTTATGCAAAATTTAGAGGTGTGCCTTAGTTGTACGATGTAAGGTGGACACTTTATACAAAGCTAACCTTTTAGAAAAATGATTTCCATTATTGGTATTAGGATTTTAAAAAAGGCCAACCCATATCGGAATCATTCAATCCATAATGGTATTCAAGGAGGTTGTCCCAATTTTTTAAATATGTCAGGAACTGGGTTGTTCCAAAAAGGTAGCAGCTGATTCCTGACAGAACCACCTTTTCCTGACAAAAATAGCCGATTCTGTGAAGGAACTGGATAGTACGACCAGGCCGGACCACCCAATTCCTATAAATTTTTTTATTTTTGTATTTTAATTTTTTTATTTTTTACAATATTTTTTTATTTACAAAAGATGGCCCCACATCTCTATAAGAAAAGCTGACACCCACTTGGTACAATGGGTGAAGATACATATGGTCTTTTATAGTTTCTTAGCTACTGGCTTTTATCTCATATCCTCGATATGGGGACAAATCTTTTAAAAGATTGCATACAACGAGAGCATTTATCTTTAATATAAGAGGGTCACAATTACTTCTAACCATCTGATGTGAAATCTGATAGTTTGAGTGTGTCACGAAGTTTGAAAAAAATTCATTTGAAATTTGAGCTTAGTCAATGGAATAAATGCAGCAACCTAATTTTACATCCAATGGTCAAGACTAATTGTGACCACCTTGTACTAAAAGTAAATGACCTTATTGTCTATTTTTCCATTATCAAGGTCGTAAAACTCTTTGTCCCACATCCTAGATCCACTTGCAATGGGGAAATACATTGATGATATAAATCATTTCAACCCTTCTTAGGTTCTGAACTTTGGTCCACTTTCTGTGTTAGTTTGAAAAAGAAGCCCTCGCCAGACCAAGACCTACCTCTATTAGGGCCAGATGCTCTGGCCCGGCCGTGATGCAGCCCTCGGGCTACATTTTGTAACCCAGGCGCTATGTTTTCATGGCCAGGCTGATCAGTCGGGCCAGGCCACCTAGCCCATTGCCACCCCCTATGCACATTACTATGGGGAGAGAGTGAGAGAATCAAGTACACGTAAATTCACAAGATAAAGGGCAATGCCTTTTCGTTGGGAACTCTATGGCAAAAATCATGAGTTCACCAATAACCTTTATTTTTTAAATCATTTATTTCTTCCCTCATGACATAAACCCCTTTTCCAAAGATTTAAATCAACTAAAAAAATCTCTCTCTCTCTCAGTATTTTTCATTTATTAAATCTAATATAAGATAATCCACTCGAGATAAATAAAAGTATCATCCAACAAGCATTAAGGTTGACGACAAAGTTTGGGGCTGATGTTTGTGCAGGATTCCCATGCTCCATATTTCTTCATATTACAATTGAAAACTGGTGAGCATCCTTTAAATTGTCTTGTAGACATTTCTTCATATTTTGTTTTTGTCATTCTTGCTCCATTTTGTCCTGTACTCTCAGCTATCGTTCCTTCTGATTTACGGAGATTCCCCAATCCCAACTAAAAAGAAAAAAAAAAAAAACATAAAAGGAAATACTATTATTTCATTCATGTTCAATTTGCTGTTACAATCAATATTCAGTGTCTTCTTTTAGGCGACAACTTGAACAACTGCAAACCATCTAAGATAAAATTACAAATTTATGCGAAAGTAGAATGGAACATCAGTTTTTATCAACTAAGAAGGGAAGGGAACATCAGTATACGGCCCATTCTCTCTTGAAGCAAAAAAATTAAGTTACATGATTTTCCTATTTGAAAATACAATTACATTGGATAGATGAGAGCATGAAACAAGCAAGTAGTACAATGGAGCCCTGTTTCCTGTCCACACCCAAAAACTCCTTATAGTGGTGTGTGAGCAAATGGTCCCCCTCCAACTCGAAATTTAAAAGTGAGAAACACGCTGACCAGGACCAATGGAGATTGAGACTATTATGTATACTCTTTTCTTCTCTATGATGGGTCCCGGTCAATAACCTTGGCGGGACCCCCCAGGGCTTCTTTTATCCTACTGAAAACAACTCTTACAGGAATACAACTAAGAGAAGGAGAGGCTCCAATATCTTTGATCAAGCCACTAGAATCACCATTCTCAATCTTGGGTTTCTTCTCAGTGCTAATAGAAGACAGGGTCCTTGTCTTTTGGCTAGCAAACCCTACTTTCTTTAATAACCTCTTTTGCGACTTCTTACCCATTGATGACCGGCACATATTAGAGAGGCTTCTTTTCATGAACCTCATCTTAAATTGGCTCGACGAAGCCTTCTTCAATGGAGATAGGGCTCGCACTTGAGGCCGTGGGACCCTGTGCATGGCTGTTCTCCTTCCTGTCCGCCAAACTGGGGGGAGAGCCCTACCTTCGTTTCTATCATGTTCAGAGGACCCATCTTCTAAAATCTCAATTTGAACTGGGTGCCCAACTATTGCCTTTCCATTTAATCTACTCATCAATGAAACGAGGGGGACTCTCTCGCCTTGGTAGCTTGCTTGAACCTTTATATCCACCTCGACAAGCATGGGCTCCAACATATCGGTTGTTTCATAAAGCTGGTCCGGTTTAAAACCAGGTAAATTGTAATTTTCAATGCCAATATCCTCAGTGGCCTCCTCCCAAGAACGTCTGTCTGATGATGCCCTAGCAGCCCAGTCAACGCTAAATCGGGAGCCCTTGTGAATAGGTGAGGAAATCGCTTGGGAGTCCTCATCAGAAAGGCTTTCCAGTGAGGTGGAAAGGTCCCTGAATTGCTCCTCATTCTCAAATGTATCACCTCGGTCATAAGAGTAGTTTGGCTCCTTTTCATCATTAGGGGAAAACCCATGTCCCGAAGGTACAGTACCATATAATCCATCTATAGATGGCCTTAAACCATTGCAATTATCGGTTGTTTCTATAGTGGCCCTTTCATCTGGCGCATCCATGTGCTTCTTTGGTAAGTTGCGCAGGTTTCGTTTCCCTTTCCATTGCCATTTGTACTCAGTTACATCAGGAGCAACATTTGCACCATTATCAAATGGGTGGGGCATGTAAATTCCAGTGTCGTCCAGTCCCCCATCCCTCCCAGGTTGACTGACACATTTATCTTTATTACGGGATCTTGGCAAGGCATATGTGTCATGATGATCTGAGAGAAGAAGAAAAGAAAACACAAGGAATCAGTTAGTAGCAAAATCAACAGTTCTTTTTTTCTTCTACGATTCAAAAAGAAATCAGGATCCTAGTATTGTTTCTGCTCAAGTATTACCATCTAAACAAAGATTCTATAATACAGAATCAGAAGAACTCATAAACGAACCAGTACGTATAAAAGTGGGAGCATTGATATACAGCAATAGGCCTACAAGGAGGTAAAATCTTAAGATAAAAAGAGAAAAACCAAAAACACAACAAATCCACCAAGGAGAATCCCACGACCACAATTTTCATAGTCCTATATACAACATATGGTCAAACAATGCTGAATTCAAGCATTCCAGATGGAGAAATATGACTGGCTTGAACAAAAAAATGAGTAAGAGAAAATGTTACAAAAACTTGCAAGCACGAGCACACTCAAACATGAAGCCCATAACCAGAGTCAAGTGAGAAGCATGGATACATGTATATTTAGGAACAGAAATATCCACAGTTGAATATGATCTTATCAAAGCATCCATGGATTACAGGCATTATTTCCTTTTTACTTCCGAATATAAAATTCTATTCACCCAAACAATGTTATATCTATCCAAGATGGTTAAAGAGCAACCTGAAAGTACGGCGGCATCTTCATCCATGTCAGGATTCAAGTAATCTCTTACACAAGAATCAGAGTCCTGCTCATCAATCAGTCTAGAGCATGCAAGATCATCTTCCAAGGATCTCGACTGCAAATAAGTGGGCTCTACCTGCCCTTTCACCCCCCTCAATGAAATTGGCCTATCATCTCCATCACCTTCCAAATCTTCCCCCATTTGTAGCTTTGCACTACTCTGTAATACCTGAACAAGAGGCCGCCGTCTATCCCTTCGCTTGACAAGAGATTCTTCTGCCTGAGCTCCTGATATTCTCCTTCTTTTGGAGGTGGGAGAAGATTTACTGCTGCTAACATGATTCTCGGCCAAATTGGCGTTTCGGGTTCCCCCTAGACTTGGGGAAAGAGCAGGTTTCCTCTTTTTCGAAGCAATCTTAAGTCCAAAGTCTTGTAAACCTCTCATTCGAGGCATGGCTTCAGCATTGTCATCTTCCCAGTTACGCAGATCATCCTGTTTAAACTTGTTAACAGGCAAAGAACCTTTTTCCCCCTTCCCCAAGTTATATGCTTGACGAGAATTGCCCGCTGACTCTCTTTTCGACACACCAGGAATTCTCTCTGTAAGGATTCAGACAAGAGAATTCAATCATGAGTTCTTGAGCTTTTTGTAGTCTACCAAAAAGTTAAAATATCGATCTTAACAATAACCACAATATAAACTAAAGAACTGTATTAGGCATTATGGGATTCATGGCAGGTATATATGCTACAAGTATATGTGCCCTTTAAAATAACAACCACATAGTTTGCAATTATACCAGCACTCTGCTGATTCCTTTCAAGTAGCTGCTTCTCGAGCTCAAGAGCATGAAGAATAGCATCTTCTCTTCGTGCATATTTTTCTCGTTTCTTAGCAGGCATTCCCTGAGACGATTCAGCTCTTCCAATACAATCATCAAACTCCCCACACCTAAATGCCTTGACCCTCTTAGATTTCTCCAAATTGTACCAGTCCCTGAATAGTAAAGCACTCCTCAGTTTCAATACACAAAAACCACAAAAATTGCAAAAGAACAAAGAAAGAAAAGAAACCCAAAAACCAACACTTCCAGCTCACTAGGAAAACATAGTAGCGCATTTTGTATTTGAGAAATCATACTAGCACATGTTATTCTAATACAAATCAACATTTCTATAAACGGTTTAATGCATTCTGAAAAATTGCTAAAGAACATCACATGATCTTTAAACTACCAAAAAGAGAAATTTCGGCTGAATTTGGGTAGACTAGGTATAAGGACAAATCTGTAGGTACAAGTAACAATTGGTTGATACACGGCTGAAGATAGATAGATCAGGTATAGGGATAAATCTGTCAGTTCAACTAACAAGCGATTAAAACACACATGCACATGCGCGAGCACGCACAATCTATGCAAAATGATGACATATCAGGCTATCACAATGGAAAATCCGGACAACTGGACCACCTCACAGGATCACAGGACTCAGAGTAATTAATTCCTTGAGAGAGAAGCCAGGTAAAAGTGATAGGCAGAGAACTATTGCCAGAATTGGTAGTACCAGCTGTCTAAATGCAGGGTGTGTCCCTATAGTGCAGGATCGGAAATTTCTACATGAAATTGTTTCACATATCCTGGGCCATCGCTGGAACAATGGATTGTTGATGGCTCAATGTTCTCATGCTTGGTTTCCTGAAGATGAATGTTTTTGTTGGAACTTGTGTCTCTTTGCCAACTTTTTGGGCATTTGGAAGGAATAAAAAACTACAGGATATTAATAGGTCCATGGTACTGTAGGCCCTCAATAGCAAAGACTTGAATCCAGGGAGAAGAATTAATTTGTGAATGAGAATTACCCACCAGTGCTGCAGTAATAAGCCAAAAGTTAAGAAAGCCCTGCAGGTAAAATCTGCAGTAAGAGTTTCTTTAATTTCATGGGAGCTCTAGTGAAAATCCTAAGCCATTAGAATGATTCTGGCAGGAGCTAAGGGCTCCCAAGACCTTTGTCAGGCTTATTGGTTATTGTGATTGTTCAAATGGCCCCGGTGAAAGCCCTTCAGACAGAGTCAAGAAAGGGGACGCAGATCTCAGTAGTCTTATTCCATTCTTTCTTGGGACCCTCGATGGAGGAAGGATCACTAACTTAATGTCCTAAGTTGGGCTTGCAAAGAGATAGAAAGCCCTCGAGAGTCACAATTATAGAGGAGGCCTTCAAGGGGGGAAATGGCAGACTATGTTCTATTCCATCTCAACAAAAAAAAGAAACAAGAGATCCACTGATGCATCCTCTGACTTCAGAGGGACTTCAAGGGAGTAGCTTGTAATCATATAACTCCTTCCCACAAGCCATCCTTGTTTGTCTCAAGCCCAATAGACTAATAGAGCAAAGAAAAGAATGGGTTACTGACATTAAAACTATTATGCTGATGATTTCTCTTATTGCGTGTGTTGCTGACTTCTAAGTTTAGTGCTTTCTTACCCTGTTCCGCCTAATGATAACAAAATAGTATGATATAAATAACATAAAAAAAATGTAAACAACAATTATTAGGATAAGTAATCCCAGATATTCATGCCACTTTCTTAATTTTTGGGTAATGTCCTCTTTATTGCATTTATGTTATCTGACATAAACTATCAATTTGTCGAATAATCACAAAGGAATAAAGGAAAGTAAAAACTACAAATTGTAAGGCCATTCTTCTATGCCACAATAGACAGCATGCAGACCCAAGAATAACGTGTATCATCATTAACTAGATTCTGCATGGAAGGACTGCCCAGTGGCACTACCCCGACAGCTCTATAACTTTCATATGTATCTTGTCAACTATGGACACATAAGGACACTTGGACATGGGCCTATACATGAAGGCACTCTGGCACTTAAGTTCATGGCATTATATTCTATGGTGTTCTTGAAGGAACTATAGTTTTGACATGCAACTCAAATACAGTAGTAATAAATAATACACATACCTTCTTTGAAATCAAAACTCAAAAACAGTGGTTCAGACTTAGAAAACTTATTGGATGATGGGATCATTGAGCCTCATAAATGCATTCTCAAAGAATCAGCATATCAGTAGATGGTGAGTCCATGTTGTTTCTTAGTTATTGTATGTGTGGATATAGTCCATTGACGAAAAAGAAATAACATCATTATATGTTGCCATCAATTTAAAGTATGTGGGGAGTGCAATGGGCCACTTATAATATGCGGTAAAGACACCGAGAAATGCCAGGCCAGGTTAGATGGCAGATGCAAGCAAGTTTAAGGTAACCTAAAGAATCAGGCCACAAGTGAGCAGCAACAAGGTCCAAGCACATGCTGAAAACTATACATCTCGAAAAAGACGGAAGTTATAACTTCAATGATTAAAAAATTCTAACAGCCCAGAATGCATATTTGGACAGAACTTCAGTTAATATAGGTGCTATTAAGACTAAAGAATGGAGCCTAGGGCATGCAACAAGTGAATCCTCCAGGGAAGAGGCCACAAAATAGATGAGAGTATAAGTGAATATATTTAAATAGCAACAATAAACTCCCAATTTTAAGGGATTTGCCTTATGGAAGGGGGAACACAAGTTAGATGCAGGAAGGCAACCTGCCAAAAGTACAACCATTGTGCTGCAGAGAAATTGGCAGAGAGGGAAAATTTTCAAATTTTTTAACTCAATGAGCTCCTCAAGGAGATTTAAGGATCTTTATCCACTCTTGAACTGAAAAGAGGATAGAGGATGTGAAGGGTAACAACAATGGGCAAAACTGGAAAAGGATGAGGGGAAGAGGAAGTAATTAGCCACACATAATTTGTGGCTAAGAGGACAAGGATGCCCAGATATGATGGGGAAAGGATGCAAGGTCCCACCTATCCTAGTTTGATATAAGTACCTTTTGTGGGACATAATCCAATCCACCAGTATGCTTGTCGAAAGAAGTACTCAATCAGAAATTGCTCCTTTTGGAAAGAATTTTCCTTGCAGAAGTCTCAGATGGTCACTTTATCTTGTACCACTTACATATAGCTTGCTGACAGATCAACGAATAACTATTATAAAGAAGATCAACTTAATTATGCTTTGAACATAGACTTGCATAAAAAACTCTATTTACTTCATTTTTCACATACGTACTTTGGAATAGGGTTCTTTTCATGTATGGCAACTGTTAAGAAAACATAACATCCTATGTTTTAACTGTTCATGTGACTAAGTAATGGAAAAACCATAACACATTGCAATAGATTGGTTGAAACACATTATAACCCATTTGAATTATTAAAATGGCGACAATGATATAAATTCCAATCAGGTAAATACATTAGCAAGTCTAAACTAGAATATTCTCTGCAAATGTGAAGAGATGACAGGAACATTTGTGTCAAAATCTAATCCTAATTGAATAAGTATTAGAAAAGTCAGTCAATTCAGTTTTAAAATCCCCAGTCCCAAGATGTAGAGGATCATGGCCCCTTTACTTCATGGTTAGGCTTTACGCACAGCATCTCAATGCCAAGGTTCATCATCAATAAGATATTCAAAATTACTTATAAAAGATATGCAATTTAGAGAAACAGAATTTCTACCCTCTATATTGAGAATAACAGAAGCCCTCTATTAACATCGATATATAAATGTACTCTAACCAAACCAAATGTGAAAGGAAAAAGTATCCACAAAGTTGACCAGGACCCATCTGCCTGAATCACATTGGAGCCATAATAACTCACTTGAAGAAACGAAAAACAAAGATAATTATGTATAAACCTAGTTAGTTAAGTAAAAACACAATGCTAAACTAACAACATCATCCACACCCATACTAATCCCGATAAAAATTATCATGTTCAAAATTAAATGATCGCCACATCAACAAAATGATTATCCATAGAAAAACAAAGATTTCTTCTTCTGATACACGATCGCACCCAAACAAATTATCTAACTGCTATCAAATTAAGTCAACCAAAACATTGTTATAAACAAACAATATTTCAATGCGAACAAGAACAACAAACCCATGGAACGAAACATATTCCAATAAAAACTAGAAGCCAAAAAAGGCAGGAAATAAAGAAGAGGACCATAACTCAACAAGGAAAATAAATTTTATACTACCAAAAGTATAGAAACTACAAAAGAAATAGAAGAATTATAGTGATCATAAATCAATAATTGAGAAAATTCTAGAAATAAGTACAACTTAAAGCTAGAAATGGACATGCAAAATAGGATAAGTACTAACACGCTTGCATCTTCTCGGCCTAAAAGTTTTACAGGGGTTCCTGATCTCGGGGACATAAGATGAGTTGCAGATAACTCATTAAGGCCGAGAATTCGGCCAGGCCACCACGACCCATTTCTCCTTCTTACCCAAACTATTGAACCAACACTCGAATTTACAGGCTTCCCGTTCGAACCATCTGCAAGACCCATTTCTCCAAAAACCCTAAAATACCTAGTTTTCCATCTCCCCAAACAGCTCAAAAACCCTAAAAACCATTGAAAGTTCCAGAACCAATCTATGATCATGCCAGCCAAGTGCTCATCCTCCACCATAGACTAGCAAAAACACGCTTTTCCGCCATAATGTGAAAAAACCACCATTTTTTTGGAACCCTGTACTAGTTTTGCAGGTATATGAGACCTCTGAAAGATTTTTCATTAGGGTTTCCATGAAAGCATGAGATCATTCCATTTCTAGGGTTTCCGACTCATGAGTGATTCATTTATGAGAAGGGAATCCTTGGAGGGAGGAGTGCACATGGCAGCGAAGGTGCTTTTATGGTTTTTAGGGTTTTTTGAGAGAGCAACAGATGAGAGAGAGAGAGAGAGAGGACGAGGCGAGGATAGAGAAAGAGGTGAAAGAGAAGGAGATGGGATTTGCAGATGGTGATGGATCCGCGAGAGAGGAGAGCCCGGTTCCCCCCCGCTGCCTTTGCTCGGGTTAAGTTAACCAAGGGTTCGTACCTAGGGTTGGGTTAAAACACACATGCTCTACAGAGTTTTGCCTTTGCCCAAAGGGTTTCTCTCTAAAGAGTTTCTTGCCAGACCTATTCTCTCTCTACAGTTTTATTGCCTAATCCATGCCCAAACTATTCTCTCTCTAGGCTTCTATTGCTTAATTTATTCTTCCCGTCTTCTTTTAAGATTGGGCTCAAGTGTATATAGCTTAAGGATCCATCCCCTGGCAATGGGCTCGGCAAGCCGGATCGGCCCAAAAATAGGGCTTGGGCCGAACCTAGCTCAGTCAGGCTACCCTTCGACAAGGCCGGCCTTGTTCGGCCCAGCCCGGCCCTCAAAAAGTCAGGATATAAAGCCCCTTTGACCTAATTAGTGGTGGGCTTGGGCCGGCCTTTTGGGACTAGGGCCAAGCGGCTCAACCCATGCTCGGCTCTCTCTCTCTTATATCTATTCTCCCTCTCTCTCCTCTTCCTCCTCAACAGTTTGGGCTTGAGAAAGTGGGCCTCTCTCTCTCCCTACAGTTTTTGCTTCTTTCTTTTTTGGTGTAGTTTATATAAGGTTGCCATCTTAAACAATCCATTTAAAGCGTGTCTTCAAATTTTACCATAACATATAATTTTGATGCAAAATATTTTTAAAATTATCTCAAAATCTATTTTCAAATCTAATTATATAATTTTGAACTCCAAAAATTATTAAAATCAAGTAGATCTATAAACATATGAAAATCTTGAAAATTGACGGTTTAGATAATGTGTTGTAAGATGTATCATTTTTAGGACTCAAAATCTTTTTTTGTTTTATTTATAGTCATACATTTCAATGTCAAGATGATCAATTAGAGGGTTTTTCAGCATTAAAACAACCTTTACCGATGGTTTTTTTAGGTACATCGGTAGTTCTACAACCCTATATAAACATTTTCTTCTTCTTTTTTTTTTCGTGTTTTTGCTTTATTCGCTCTTGCTCCCCATTTCAGTTCTTTGGCCACATTTTCTTTTTTGAGTAATTTAATGGGGAAACCAAGTTCCTATTCGCTTTTTCAATGTAGATTAGGAGTTGGCTTTTTTAAAGTATCATTGGACTAGCCAATTTTTCTTGTTTTGGCCAATTTCTCCTATTAGATAGTTTTGTGTATCCGTCTTTGTATCGTCAATATAAGTTTTAGCACTTAGTCCTTATAATAGGCACATCTCTGCCAAGTTTAGGAACGAAATTAAAATTAATCTAGAAGATATGTATCATTGACTAATGTTTACGTGTATAGCAACTTGATTTAGTCTTATATTACTAAAATAAGTACAGATGATTATGATGATGCATTAATAATGACAATATTATTGTCTTAATAATTGATGTCTACTGCTGCTCTTCCTTAAACTCCCCTATAGTTGTTACAAATGACTTTTTAGAAATATAAATATTGTGAAAATAAAAGTGGGGACTCCAAATAGTTCCAATAAGACTTGAATGATGATGATGATAATGATACCATGGGATCATCCTTTGTGGCCTGCAAATGGCACAAACATGGCAAGTTGCAAGATTTAAAATTGTGTGGCTAGTGTCTTCTTTATTCTCTCACACAATTTGAAGAAAATTTTCAAAATCGTCTGTGTAGTCGGATAAAGCCCGGTACCCGATTTTATATCTGATGGCTTGATGTAATTGTGACTTTTGTGGACAAAGAATAAACGTCTTTAGTAGCATATTTTCCCTTAAAATTATATGCTTGGCAATTTTTCTTTTACCAATCCATATATTTGTTTTTTACCGATGATTATTTTAAAATGTAACATTATACATTTGGCTAGTTGCTTGACTTTTTAATTCTCAAGAACATAGGTGACACTACTGAGTTCAATTAGTTCCACCACCCAAAAGCATTGGATAAGAAAATCACTTTTTTTTTTCCCTCAAAAGTATTCGATAAGAAAATTACAGGTTCTTTTTCTCACCTAGCAAAAATAAAGGAAGCTTACTCTAGGTCGGCTCCACTGCTACAATGTGGTCTAGATTTTCATTCCAACCAAGACTCAGGAAACTAAGCTTATGAAAACTTGAATAATAATAAGTGCTTCATTCCCACTCCATATGGTATTCAAAGACCTTAAGTTCTACCCTCCTTGATAGTAGTCTCAAATGTTCTTACAATTGGAGCTATTCTAGTTGAACCTAAGTCCATCAAGTCTGCTCTCTATATACTAATTTCACTTAAGAGCCAATTCTACATCTTCCAAATATGAATGTTGTTAGATGTTGTTGGGTCTATAAAACTAAACTAAAGTCTAATGGCAGTCAAGAGAGACTTAAAGTTTGCTAAAGATACAATCAAGTTATTAGAGTTGACATTTTTGAAACATTAAGTCATATTATTAAGTCTTTTATTATTTGAAATGTACGTACAATAACTATTATACGTTGTTGGCCTCTCGATCAACTTGATGTGAAAATTATAGCTTTAAGCAAACTCTTCGGGTCTGGTTTGATAGTTTAAAGACCATTTGTTTTCCTTGGATTTTTATTGCAATAGAATTGATCTATCCCTATTTATTTGTAGCTTTCCTTAAGGATATGTTCTAACTCTCTATGGCGATGATAGTATTAGGATAGGTAATAACCTAGATCTTTTGGATTATTTACTTAACTCCAAATAGAATTTACAATGAGCATGTTCATATGCACGAATAAGTAAGTAAATTTACATGCAAAACACTGCAATTGCCCATATTCAATGAACTAATTAGGAAACTTCAACTAAAATGTAAGATCGTATGGCCTATCCAGGCATCAAATCAGGCATCCTATGCCCAAAAATAGAAATAAAAGGAACATTTATTGTTCCAAATTGTTTTGAAATATCTTGGATTCACATGACAAATAACAAACAAAAGTATAAGTAAAGAAAAAGATATGCTTTCAATCTCTTAAACCCTAGATAAATCTTTCCTCAAATGGAGGGCCTCAAGCTCTAAAAACTCTATATATATCTTCCCCCAATAAGGGAAATCGATTTTGGAGTACTTTTTTAATGAATTGCTAGTGGTGTATAGATAGAGCTTTCATCCATGCGAACAAAGTGCTATTAGTAATCTTAAATTTCAATAGCTAGAATCTTCTTATCCCAAGGTCTCATATATGCATTGGTCTAAACAGCCCTTGGATTTTTTTCAAGCTAAACATTGATGGTGCTTGTTTGGGTTATCCAGTAAGGGGTGGCAGTAGAGGTATAATTCGGCTTTTGTTTCTCCAATCGGTAATGATACCTATAATCCAGTGGAATTTAAAGCTTTGGAAAGAGAAATGCAATAAATTAGAGTTAAATTGCGTTAACATCGACATTGAAAGTGATTCTATGGTGTTGGTGGGTTCTATGTTTGGAATAATGCTTTGTCGATGATTTCACACACTTATTATACATAATTGTCGATCAGTTGCTTCGGGATTATGGCTGGTCCTTAAAATTCGTGCTTTGAGAAGCTAATCAAGTTGCAGACTTACTAGCCAAACATGGGGCAAGGACTTCAGAGGCTACATTATGGGGCACTCAACGTCGGGCTTTATTGCTTTAGCTTTAATTTCTGATGCAACCAACATCCCTCGTCATAGGGAGTCTCTTTGTATCGAATGTAACAATTTTTTAATTATTAATGAAAATGGGAAAGGGACCTTTTCTCCTCCCCTCCAAAAAAAGGTATACAATAAGATTATTTACCTTTGGCATAAACATGTCATATCAAACACAACCGTTGGATGTGAAATCAAGTGGCTGGAGGTGTCTCAAACATTGTTTTAATGATTGTGAGGGGTATGCTCCAGTCAGAACATGTTAAATCATTGGTTAAGTAATAGTTTAAATGTATGAAGACATCTAGAAAGGTTGCTCCACTTTGTTCGGCCTATATAATTGGTCGAAACCAGCCAAAATTAGTCAAATAATGGTTTGACCTTTTCTTTCTTTTTTTTCTTTTACTAAATTCTATTTTTACTTTGGATCACAGACCAGCCAAACCATCAATAGGTAGTCCAACCGATTAGACCACTGGTTTGATATGGTCTTGATAACTCTAGTCTCAATTTCCAAAAGGAAAATTCTTGAGGATTGTGAAACACCCCAAGATACATTTTATGAATACTAAATTTGGATAACCTTTGTGCTTAAGTATTTGACCAAGAACACCTTTTTACATAGGTAGAAAGACAAATACTCCCTCCTATGTTTGAGTCGGTAATACCAAAAACATTGATGCGGCTACCAAAATGTAGATGGGAATGCCATTTCTTCACATTTTCATCGATAAGAAATGCATGATTTTAAGCAATAGGAATGACATACTAGTATACAATATTGACTTGTATAGGGAGTGCTTGTTATTTTGAGATTTAAGGGGTTTATTTTATATGGGATGGTTTATAAAGAGACCATTTACTTTTCATACAAGGAGGTCACAACTATTCCCATTCATTAGATATCAAATTGGATGGCATGGGGTGAGTCACGAAGTCCGAGATTTTTTTTTGAACTTTATGTCTAAGCAATGACATTCTTACAACCACCTATTTTAAAATCTAAGGGACAAGAATCATCGTGACCTCCTTATACAAAAAGTAAATGGTCTCTTTATAGAAAATCCTTTTTTATAATATGCAAATGTTTTGGACACTGCATATAGATTATTCTAGCCACTTCTATGTTTTTGTAGCCACTGCTATGAAGGAAAAGTTTATAAAGGTGGTAACCTTGCTTGTATAATCTTATATAAGGTTGTATTGATTTATACCATTTATTTTAGATAAATGGTGTAGACTTGAAAATTATCATATCTTGTTAGTATAAGTTTATATAAGGTTGCACCCATGTCTACCTTTTGATTTATTTGAATGGTGTAGATTTAGAGTTATCATTAAAGATAGGCCAAATTTTGACATTGACTTAAAAGACACATCAAGTCCATACTTTATAAGATTACTAAAGAAATATGGGCTAGTGGGAATGGGGTTGAGGTCGTGGTGATAGCGCCACGTAAATCTCAGCTACGGGTCTAGGTTTCCATTTCCAATGACGCATTCGAAAACCACTAACTATTTTTAAAAATGGATAGTGGCCTATAGTCCCCAAGGATCTACCAAAAAAAAAAAAAAGGGG